AGCTAGCCTGAACTGGGCTAAGATTGATGCGCTAACAGCTAGCCTGAACTGGGCTAAGATTGATGCGCTAACAGCTAGCCTGAACTGGGCTAAGATTGATGCGCTAACAGCTAGCCTGAACAGGGCTAAGATTGACACACTAACAGCTAGCCTGAACAAGGCTAAGATTGATGTGCTAACAGCTAGCCTGAACAAGGCTAAGATTGATGCGCTAACAGCTAGCCTGAACAAGGCTAAGATTGACACGCTAACAGCTAGCCTGAACTGGACTAAGATTGACACACTAACAGCTAGCCTGAACAAGGCTAAGATTGATGAGCTAACAGCTAAGCCTGAACAAGGCTAAGATTGATGGGCTAACAGCTCATTTTAACAGGGCTAAACTTGATGCACTAACAGCTAGCCTTAATAGGGCTGATTGATGTGCTAACAGCTAGCCTGAGCAGGGCTAAGACTGATGTGCTAAGAGCTAGCCTGAACAATGCTAAGACCAGCGGACCGCTGCCGTCTTCAAACAGCTTCAGTCCAAAGTTCAAAGCGATCTAGAGAACTCTGTTTTACAAACTTTACTTCTCTGTTAGTTTTGCATTTACGTAGTTATTTGACTTTACAAACGTTTACAAGTGGGAGTAGCTAGCTGTAATAACGGTTTATCACGTTGTGTTTACATATGAATAGCAGCAGGTTGGTCTTGTTCTTAATAAACCAGGTGTTAGCTCATCAAACTGCTCCGAATTAAACTCTATTTCTCTAAACTGAGGTTGTTCGAAGAGTTATCTACAACAGGTAAGATATTAATTGTTTATTTCTTTTGAGGACTTAAAAATCTCTGAACCATCCTTCTAACTGTCTGTCTTCATCTCTTTGATGCGTCCTCCTGTCCTCCATGTGTTTGTCTTTGTTTGAAGCTCAGAAATAACCACACAGAAGGAATGACCGCTGTCTTTGTGTCTGCAGGAGTGGGTGTACACCCACGGGCAGCAGGTCCGGCACCAGCAGCACTGTTTGTCCGTCTCCACCACCTTCCCAGCCTCGCAGGTCCTGATGCTGCCCTGCAACATGGCGGATGGCAAACAGGTCTGAACACACACACCATGACACACACACTGACACACACACACTGGCACACACACACAAAGACAGGTGGTGTCGTGCTGCAGGCGAGTCACTACCGTTTATCATACGACTGATAAATAAATCAAAATGTTAATTAATCTAAAGATAAATTTACCTAAAGACGATCTCTGCACACACTTCCACTCGTGACTCTGAGCGTGCACACACACACACACACATGCACACACTTGTCATTACCCATCCACTGGGCACCTTGACGGCGTCCCAGCAGCCCCTGCAGCAGAGAACGAGCTGACAACCAATAAATCACCTGAGAAAGACGGAGAGAAAGAACGAGGGGGGGCGGGGGGGGGGACACAGGAGGGAGAGATGAAGCAGGAAAAAAGAAGAGAAAGAGAGGAGGAGGGAGCAAAGACAGGGAGGAGAGGGGGTTCTGTTTACTGTACGAGGTCAGACCTGCTCCTGTTCCTCCCTTCAGATTCTCTCGATCTGAAACGAGTTCTGAGGAAATGAAACTTTGATGAGACGAGAAAAACAAAACCAGCCGAAACTGAGCATCAAACAGGTGGACAGCAGAAACAACGAGCCGAAGATCTGAAGAGGCGCTCCCGTTCAATAAATATATTCATAAATGTTCAATTAGAAATAAATAAATATTAGTGTGAATGCTGAGTCAGTGTTTATACCGACTTGTTTAAGTTGACGGACTGACTACTTCTGCACACTTTGAGCTTTTTTAACCGTTCATACTTCAAAACCTTCAGCTTCTATGGGAGATATGACTGTTTGTGAACTTTTATACGTTTCAAGCTATTTCAATTTATTAGAAATATTTTACCCATAAAGTACAATTTCTCCATAAACATTGTTCACTGAACTCTGTAACAGAATAATTACTCTATTTTTCATTCCTTGTACTAATGTTAGCTTTTAGCTACTTTTTTGCACACTTTGTCTTTAGGAAACTTGCTGATTTTTGCGTTTGGCTACTGTTGGTCTAAGGTTAGCTTCTGGCTACTATTTTGCACATTTTATCTATAGGCTGCTGTTTTGCTGATTTTTGCTTTTAGCTAGTGTTGGACTAAGGTTAGCTTTTGGCTACTATTTTGCAGATTTTAGCTTTAGGATGCTGTTTTAAGAATTTTTGCTTTTGGATACTGTTGGGCTAATGTTAGCTTTTGGCCACTATTTTGCACATTTTAGCTTTAGCTTTTGCAGATTTTTGCTTTTGGTTAGTGTTGGGCTAAGGTTAGCTTTTGGCTACTATTTTGCTGATTCTAACTTTAGGCTGCTGTTTTGCTGATTTTTGCTTTTGGCTGCTGTTGGGCTAATGTTAGCTTTTGACTAATATTTTGCACATTTTATATTTAAGCTGTTGTTTTGCTGATTTTTGCTTTTGGCTACTGTTGGGATCATTTTAGCTTTTGGCCACTATTTTGCACATTTTAGCTTTAGTCTGCTGTTTTGCTGATTTTTGCTTTTGGCTACTGCTGTGCTAATGTTAGCTTTTGGCTACAATTTTGCACACTTTGTCTTTAGGAAACTTGCTGGTTTTTGCTTTTGGCTGCTGTTGGGATAATTTTAGCTTTTGAATAATATTTTGCACATTTTATATTTAAGCTGCTGTTTTGCTGATTTTTGCTTTTGGCTACTGTTGTGCTAATGTTAGCTTTTGGCTACTAGTTTTCTCATTTTAGCTTTTAGCTGATGTTTTGCTCACTTTATTTGTTAGTGTTTATTCTTTTATACGGCAGTATAATAAATTTTATTTCATTAACATTCAAGGCAGTTCAAAGTTCTTTAGTTGCAATAATTGCATTTTCGATAATCTTGATTACAGTATTGATTCAAATCATAAATGTTTTTCTCAGACATGAGCAGCCGTAGTTGTAATGAAGAAGAGGAAAATATAAAAGCAGCGTAAAAGAAGCTGTAAACGAGAGGACCACAGTTTCAGGGCTCCACAATGCTTCAGCAGCCGTCAGCAGCAGCTTAAAGCACGACGGGGAACAATAAATCAAAGGAAATCTATATTCTGGTGACTCTGTGTGTTATTTCCTTCCTGCCTCATAATGGTGAGGCTGCGGCTCGTGGAGTCTGAATATTTTTACACCTCGCTGAGTTCCCTGGTGGCAGCGAGCTGACAGAAAGTTGAGGTGCTGCGGATGTGCCAGCCGAGGGAAAGAATCAGGGAAAACTTGTTTTCTGTGCCGTTAAAAGAAAAAAGTCCTGAAGGTGTGAAACCTGAAGCTGCAAATGAGGAAAATAACTTTAGCTCTTTGGTTGTTGTTGTTGTTGTTTGGGGGGTTTTGTGTGTTTGTTAAAGCTCAAGATGCTGAGTTTAGAGTTAAGACGCAGCCAAATTAAAATAATTGGGATTATCAGAGAATTAAAAGCCCAGCAGAGCACCCAGACCAGCGTAAAAACATTATCGCTTCACCTCCAGGAGTGAGGGATAGTAAAGAGAGGAGCAGAGGAGAAGTGAGGGATAGTA